CGGGATTGGCCTAGGGAATTTTAGTGGGGTTTTTAAGGGTAATTTTAACGACTAGGCCTTTACAAATATTTTCTTTTAATCTGGTTTTAATATTGATATTTGTTGTAATGTTGTTTTATAAGGCTGTCAGCCGCCCTGAGTCCGGTGAGGAGAAGGGCGGGATACAAATCAAATAAATAAATAAATAAATAAAATAAATATTCTATTCTATTCTATTCTATTCTATTCTATTCTATTCTATTCTATTCTATTCTGTTCTATTCTTCATTCTTTCTATTCTATTCTGTTCTGTTCTGTTCTATTTTTCATTCTTTCTATTCTATTCTATTCTATTCTATTCTATTCTATTCTATTCTATTCTATTCTATTCTATTCTATTCTAAGGAAACATCTTGCCTCAGGGAACTAGGATATTTCAGGGTGTTCTCTAGATGTACCACAGTCATTTACTCAGTAGGGTGATGGCAATATCTCTTCTCTATTCTTCAGAGGGAGAAGATCTTGAATGGACTTCAGCTGTTTACTAAGAAGCAACATGCTGTAGAAATGGGGAGGACAGTTTTTGTCTCACTTCTCCATCAGAAGGTATCACTGTGAAACGTGCTGCTGTACCAGGTGGCACAATAATAATCAGCCTCATCTTCAGCCAGAACTCCAGAAATGGTTAAATAGCCGGTATTTGTGGAGGCTTCTTTGGAACCGGAGAATCGAGAAGGAACCCCAGAGCCTTGACCCTTGTCCGAATCTGTGTGGTAGTGTAAGAGAAAACGTGGAGAACTTGGAGGCTTCTGCTGGACCCAGTATATCCTGTAGCTTCCTATGTTGAGCCCACTGCCCAAGATGCAGGGCAGTTTTGCCGTGTTTCCTGGGGACACTGAGGCTGATGGAGGCTGAGACACCACACTCTGTGAGGTTGATCCTAGAGGAAAACAAAAAGAAAAGTTTTATACACTTTTAGTTCACGCGTTACAGCTATTTGAAAGCAATTCCATATAACATGATCTCACCTTTGGACCACACCACCAAGATACTAAGACAAAGAGCCCAGAACATAGTGATGAAGTTTGGTGGCCCAGAAGAAGAGTAAATAGATCCACCATGGAGATGAAATTGTGTCTCCTCCTCTTTTATAGCCTTCTTGCTTGTTTTGGTGGAGCAGGAAAGCTCCTCCTTCATGTTAATGAGATGCTACTTAAATAGTTCCTGAGAATGCTTCTCACTCTAATTTGGCTGGATGCTTTTCACCCTGGCTTCTCTCTCTCTCTCTGTAGTGAGATCTATAGCAGGGGTCTTCAAACTTGGCCCTGTTATGACTTGTGGACTTCAACTCCCAGAATTCCTCAGCCAGCGTGCCTGAACCACATGTAAGAACCAAGCAGGGTGCCTTTTGTCTAGCAAATAAAATTGTCCATCAATTTTCAAGCATCTGGATAAGCCTGAAAAAGCTGTCCCATGCTTTAACTTCTTAAAGTTCAGGCATCTATTTTTAGACTTTTAGACTTTAGAAGCTGGGAAAAAATGTGGGCTGCTTTAATGAAGATGAGGGACGTTCTGTGCTGGTTCCTGCATTAATAACAGAATAACAGAATTGGAAGGGACCTTGGAGATCTTCTAGTGCTCAAGCAGGAAAGCCTATACTATTTCAGACAAATGGTTGTCCAGTCCCTTCTTAAAAGCTTCCAGTGATGGAGCACCCACAACTTCTGGAGACCAGCCATTCCACTGACTAATTGTTCTCACTGTCAGGAAATTTCTCCTTATTTCTAGGTTGGTTCTTCCTTGATCGGTTTCCATCAGTTGCTTCTTGTCCTGCCTTCAGGGGCTTTGGAGAATAGCTTGACTCCCTCTTCTTTGGGGCAGCCCCTCAGATATTGGAACCCTGCTATCCTGTCCCCCCTCGTCCTTCTCTTCATTAAACTAGACAGACCCAATTCCAGCAACCGTTCATTATATGTTTTAGCCTTCAGTCCCTGATCATCTTGGTTGCTCTTCTCTGCACTCTTTCTAGAGTCTCAACATTTTTTTTACATCATGGTGACCAAAACTGGATGCAGTGTTCCAAGTGTGGCCTTACCAAGGCATTTTTAAAATGGTACTAATACTTCCTGTGTTTCCATCCGTTGCTTCTTGTCCTGCCTTCAGGTGCTTTGGAGAATAGCTTGACTCCCTCTTCTTTGTGGCAGCCCCTCAAATATTGGAACACTGTTATCGTGTCTCCCCTCGTCCTTCTTTTTCTTATCTGGATATAGAACAGCAAGCACTTATGCTCAAGGCTTGGTTCACATCCCCCTCTGATGATTCTGAATGGTACTGCATGCTCTTCTTAAATTTCCAACTTTCATTTTCAATCAAACACTTGCAAATGGGTGCTTTCCCCCCCCTGCTCTGGACAGATCCTGAAGGTGGCAGCAGACCCAAAGAAATTCCATGGACACTTTAGTTTTCCATCTTCCTCCTTCAAATAAAACAGAGGAGTAAAAAAAAAGGCACAAGACGGCCAGTAGACTTGAAGGCTGTTACTGACCATTCCTGATGCTTCACAAGTCACTTAAGCAGAAAAACAGAAGTGAAAATGTCTTTTGCTACCCAGATGCTAAAAATGGTCACTGGGGAATAAACACCTTTTGGTGAGCAGAAGAAAAAACAAAAACAAAAGATCTTCTTAAAAGAAAAACTCATCAAATCGACATTTGTGACAATATATAGGCCAAACTGGAAAGAAAGTGACGTAAACATTGGCAAATGTATATATATATAGCCCATCTTGTCACTTTAACAATACATTTTTTTTTAAAAATAGTGGATATTCTTGTATTCTTAGGCGAAGGATGGATTTCTTGGGAGCCCTGTGCAGGTGTGTGCTATAAAATGAGGTGTACAACTGAATACATTTTGGTAACCTGGATAGCATTCAATAATAACAAAGATCTGTTTTCTCATTTTTTTAAATTGCAAAAAATTGAGTAGGATGGCCAAATTCTTCAGGGAATGACATACCAATAAAATATGACATGTCCTGGGTATGGGCAGAAGTTAAAATCCATCCTTTATTTTTTTATAGATTTGAGGGATATGATTTAATATAATGAAGATTGTATGTATTGCTGCCTACAATTTTATCTATCTATCTATCTATCTATCTATCTATCTATCTATCTATCTATCTATCTATCTATCTATCTATCTATCTTCTATCTGTCTATCTATCTATCTATCTATCTATCTATCTATCTATCTATCTATCTATCTATCTAAGTTATCTATCTATCTCTATCTATCTATCTATCTATCTATCTATCTATCTATCTATCTATCTCTATCTATCTATCTATCTATCTATCTATCATCTCTCTCTCTCTCTCTCTCTCTCTCTCTCTCTCTCTCTCTCTCTCTCTCTCTCTCTCTCTCTCTCTCTCTCTCTCTCCTATCAACCTATCAACTTGTCCACGTACAATACAGCTTCCTTTACATATTGCAATTAAAATATTAAATAGTTTGAAAACTGTCATTACAGGGCAGACCTTTGGATACAATGAAAGGATCAGGAAACAACCACAAAGCTGTACTATGAAATTATGAACTATCGGTGAAGTCTCCAGAGATCTGTGGGATTTTCCTAAGCATCTACTTCTGTGAAACCACATAACTTCTGAAGCTGAATGTTTTGAAGCTGAACGTTTGAAGCCCAAACCACAGGAAAACACCAAGCCATTCTCTAAGGACAGCAGAACCCATCAGCCTTATATTAACGTTGTTTCAAGGGATTGGATTTACCATCATATTTTGCTCCACAGAGTCTCCACTCAAGGAGAAGATGTGTAGTCAGGTAGAGTGGCTTTTTACAGATTCTTCTTGCAGAATATGAAGCTGGAAATAGGTATTTTTATTTGCATGCATGACAAATAGCTTTAGGATTTATTTCATAACGGTAACCAGCTTCTTTACTGGCAAGGCTCCTGTTTAAGATAAATTAGCTGGTTTATGGAGGTCGTTTTGGAAGCAGAGAGATGGGAGGGCATGCTGAAAACCATACTTGAAAACAAAATATTTGTGGCAAAATCAGGGTTTCCAGTTCACTAAGGCTGAGATGATAATGCTGCCATCAGTGCATCGAAGGGTAGAAGGCCAGGTGGATGGTAGGTTGAAGGCAGAAGCCAGCTCAGGGGACAGTTTTTGTCTCACTTCTGCATGTGATTGTATCACTGTGGATACCACAAGTTGCTGCCACTGCTGTAACCACCACCACAATAGTAACTAGCCTCATCTTCAGCCTGGAGGTTTGTAACGGTTAAATAGGCTGCATTGGCAGAGGCGTCCTTGGACCCCGTGAACCGGCCACTGCTGCTGGTATCATAGAGAAGATATTTGGGGCTCTCTCCAGCCTTCTGTTGGTACCAATATATGGTATAGCTGCCCACTTGGCTGTCTCGGCTCATGCTACATGAGATCTTTCCCGGTTGTCCCAGGGGAAAGGATTGTGCCGCAGGCTGAGTCAAGGTGTACTGTGAGTTAGTTCCTGAAAGGAGAAAGGAAGAGAAGGGAAGATGACATGGAGGATTCCTCAGTCACTCTACGCTGAGAACCGGATCCTGGAGAACGGACAGTTCCCAAAGTTTGTGTTCTTGATCACATTATTTGGGGAAGATTCTCGTATTGGGTGGTCCTTCGCTCACCTGTGCACCAGATCCCCAAAATGATGATCAGAGATGCAGCCAACATGTTGAGGACTTCTGGCCTTCTGGAGATTGAGCTGCTGTGTTGACACAAGTGAACTTTATTGGGGGGCTCTTTAGATCAAGCCCCCTTGTTGGTGGGTCTGTTTGCATGCCTGGCTCCTCCTCCTGCTTTCCTGACTTCTCATTGGTCCATGTCTTCCACAGAGTAGATCTGTCAGACAGGAAATGCTTCAAAATTTCCTTCCCTGGAACTATGATAGTGATGCTGCTATCCTGGGCTACTCAGAAGAGAATCCTTGATAGTGTCCCATTCAAGCTTTGACCAACTCTGACCCAGCTTAGCTTTTTCAGGACTAGCCATGCACAATCCTGTGTATAGATGGGTGTCTCAGCTCATTTGGACTCAGGTGGAGTGTGGGAAAAATAAATAGGGTTCCTAATTTCAGTGTTCTGGTTTAAGACTTTGGGCTTCGGGGGACTTTGATGATCCTTCTGGATTGCAGTAATCTTAGAGTTAGCTCTGAAAAGATTTTAAGGTCTTTATTAAAGATTAGTAGGCTAGTGGAAGAGCTCCTCCAGGTGGTCACAGAGAGGAGAAGACCAGCGATTTTTTTTCTCTTTCTGGACTGAATCATCTTCTCAAAGCATGCTCTTTTTTTTTTAAAATGACTAAATACGTGAATATTCCATTAAAGGTAGATGTTCCCTTGTTCCTGTGTAGGCAGCAACCAATGGCATAGGGCACAAAGTAGACATCTTTTGGGAGTCTGTTCCATGTGAAGAAGGAATTAAACAAATGAATTTTGAAGTCTTCCTGATTTCTCTTCTAATGCTTTGTTTTGTGCTAAAGTTGGTTAAAGCACATTTATGAACTTCCTTTGTGCTTTTTTTCCAAGCAGCCTTATGACTCTCTGAGTCTCAAATCACTGCAGCCATCCCCACACCGGGATCTAGAAAGCTTGAAAGAAGATAAATGATGGTCCTGCTATGGGTTCAGTTCCTGTCCGAAGAGAGTGTTGAGGGAGACAAGCCCTTCACAACTCCTAGCTGATGGAATTGTCCATGAGTGCTGTCCAGGGTTCAAAGAGGAATTGTTTCAGTCAAGCATGGCATCAAGTCAAGCAGAGAAATGGGCTGAACAAACATTTATCTCAAGAGATATAAGGTTTCCTCCTTGAGCAGAGGGTTGGACAAGATGACCACCAAGGTCTCTTCCAAGTCTGTTATCAAGGGAAGCTTCTGTCTGCTCTTCATAAAGAACTGGCCAGCTTCACTGAAGCTTCTGTCTCAACCTGAGGGAAAAGAGATGTTGCTTGAAGAGCTGAGAACACTAAAAGGACTCTTCAACGCTGCTGCTGCTTCTTGCATTGGGAGGTTTTTGTCTCAGTTCCTCTTGGGTTTGTATCACTGTGGAACACGTTGCTAGCACCATACCACAAAGCACAGTAATATACAGCCTCATCTCCTGCCTGGATGTCCCTGATGGTCAAATACCATTTATTTTGGTTGTTTTCCTTGGAGGCAGAGAAGCGGCTAAGGTCTCCAGAGCCTGCGCTTGCACTGTTGTAGTAACGATAAAGGAATCTGGGAGGACCTCCTTCTTTTTGCTGATACCAGGACTGAGGATAAGATGTTACTTGTCCACTACTCAGGGAACAAGAGAGTTTGACCGTCTGTCCTGGGGAAGGTGACATGGAGGATTCCTGAATCACTGTAGGCTGAGAACTGGATCCTGGGGAAAGAATAAAAGTCTTGGTTTGTGTTCTTGGGCTCATAATGTGGACAGGGGTCTCGTATTGGGTGGTCCTTCACTCACCTGTGCACCAGATCCCCAGAAGGACAATCAGAGAGGCTCCCAACATGTTGAGAAGTTATTGGGCGTCTAGAGATTGAACCCCTCTGTCAATGCAAGTGAACTTTATTGGGGGTTCCTTAAAATCAACCCTCCGTCTTTGAGGATCCATTTGCATGCCTAGCTCCTCCTCCTGCTTTCCTGCCTTCTCATTGGTCCATGTCTTCCATCAGAGTGGGACTTTTAAAGTGGTGATGCTTCTAAATGGCCTTGACTGAAGCTATTATAGAGATGCTGTGATCTTGTGCTCAGCAGAAGAGAGTTCTTGATAGTGTCCCATTCAATCTTTGACCAGCTCTGACCCCACTTATCTTTTTCAGGATACAATGTACAATCCTGTATACAGATGGGTGTATTGTCTCATTTGGACTCAGGTGGGGCATGGGAAAAATAACTAGTGTTCATATTTTCAGTGTTCTGGTTTAAGAACTTGGGCTTCAGGAGACAGCGATTGCGGATTACAGTCATCTTATGTAAATCTGTAATGATTTTAAGAACCCTATAAAAGAATGTGGAATCTAGGGGATGAGCTCCTCCAGGTGAACACAGAGAAGATCAGCTATTTTTCTCTTTCTGGACTGAATCCTCTTCTCAGACTTGCATATTCCATTAAAGGTAGATGTTCCCTTGTTCCTGTGTAGGCAGCAACCATGGTTTCAGGCACAAAGAGACAGCTTTGGGGAGTCTGTCCAATCTAAAGAAGGAATTACACTGAAAGGAAGTTTCAAGTCTTGCAGTTTTCTAACACTTTGTTTTGTGTTAAACATGGTTAGAATCTTTCAGAACTTCCTTTATGTTTATTCTCACAGACATATAGGTGTGTGAATCTCAAGCCACTGCAGCCGTTACCACTCTGGGTTCTAGAAAGCTTGAAAGGAGAGAGATGATGGTCCTGCTATGGGTCCAGTTCCTGTCCAAAAGAGAGAGTTGTGCAAGCTAGGCAGCTTATTTCGGGGAAAACACTCTTGTCAGCCCACGAGATGTGTGTTGAGTGGGAGAAGCCCTTTGCAACTCATAGTTTGTGAAATTGTCCATGAGTAATGTGCAGGGTTCATAGAGAGATTATTTGAGTCAACCGTGACATGAAGGGCAGCCTCCGTCTGCTACTCATAAAGAACTGGCCAGCTTTATTCAAGCTTTTGTCTGAGCCCAAAGGAAAAGGGATGTTGCTTGAAGAGTTGAGATCACTAAAAGGACTCTTGGAAACTGCTGTTCCATCTCGCAGTGGGGGTTTTTGTCTCAGTTCCTCATAGATTTGTATCACTGTGGAGCACGTTGCTAGCACCATACCACAAAGCACAGTAATAAACAGCCTCATCTCCTGCCTGGACATCCCTGATGGTCAAATACCATTTATTTTGGTTGTTTTCCTTTGAGGCAGAGAAGCGGCTGAGGTCTCCAGAGCCTGCAGTTGCACTGTTGTAGTAACCATAAAGGAATCTGGGAGGACCTCCTTCTTTTTGCTGATACCACGATTGGTAGTAAGATGTTACTTGTCCACTGCTCAGGGAACAAGAGAGTTTGACCGACTGTCCTGGGGAAGGTGACATGGAGGATTCCTGAATCACCGTAGGCTGAGAACTGGATCCTGGGGAAAGAGTAAAGTTCTAAGTTTGTGTTCTTGGGGTCATTTCTTGGAAAGGTTCTTGTGCTGGTGACCCTTCACTCACCTGTGCACCAGATCCCCAGAAGGACAATGAGAGATGCTGCCAACATGTTGAGAAGTTCTCAAGCTTCTGGAGATTAAGCCCCTGTGTTAAAGCAAGTAGACTTTATTGGGGGCTCCCAAGATCAAGTCTGTTTGGTTCAGAAACTATTTGCATGCTTAGCTCCTCCTCCCTCTTTCCTGACTTCTCATTGGAGCATATCTTCCATCAGAGTCGGACTTTCAGACAGGTGATGCTTTTCAAATCCCTTGCCTGAAGCTATCTTAGAGACGCTGTGATGCTATGCTTCAGAAAGGGGAGTCCTGGGTCGTGTCCCACCCAAGCTTTTTTTTTGTTTTTTAATTGTTTTTATTAATTTTTCAAATAATCATATGAACAAATAATACAAATATGGTGCATTTCATTAGAAAAACAAACACATAAAAAGCCTACTCAGTAAGTATTCAGAAATAACCAGCGGTTCCCCCCCCCTGCATCCACACTCCCTCAACCTTCCTACCTACTTCCCTCTTCCTTCCTCCCCCTCTTAGCCACAACCTCTCCTCTTTCCTCCTTTCCAACTATCCTACACATCCCATCACCTTCTTTTCCACCACCTCGGATGCAGTTTAGGGGTACTAGCCGATCATCTCCTCCTCTTAAAGACAAACATTTACATTATATTTATAAATACACCAAATTTTATATAATTCTACCCCTTCATCCCCTTCCTCCCTCCCCCCCGGACTTCCCAGAACTGAGTACAGGGATAAATACCTAACATCCCTAGTCTAAATTAAGCTATCCATTCATAATACAACCAAAATTAACATACTTTAACTCTAACATACAATAATAAAGTGTCCCATCCAAGCTTTGACCAGCTCTGAGCATGCTTAACTTTTTCAGGATCAGCCATGTACAATCATATATTCAGATGGGCGTATCAGCTCATTTGGACTCAGGCGGAGAGTGAGATTTGAGATTTTATTAAATTTATACCCCGCCCTTCTCCCGGAGGACTCAGGGCGGCTTACAGCCAGTTTAAAACAGTGATACAATACAAAATTTAAAAAGATTAAAAATAACTATTTAAATTTGGCCGCTTCTACTAAAAATTTAATTTAAAACCCCTTTAAAATACCCCTAGGCCAGTCCTGCCTGCTGAAATANGGGAAACAAATAGCGTTCATAATTTCAGTATTCTGGTTTTAGACTTTGGGCTTCAGGAGCCAGGGCTGATCCTTCTGGATTGTTCTCAAGGGAATAGAGTTTTATTTCCTTAACTTTGAAGATTTCAGAAAGCCAAAGGCTGTTGCCCATCCAGGAGAGCTTATTCATGTCTCTGCCATCCCCTATGATTGTGAAAGCAGCTGCTCTCTCTGTTTGAATTCATTCAAATTTCTCAAGTTCCTTGAAATGTTTGCCTTAAGCTTAAAGCAAAGGGGTGCATCTGGTAGAAGTAAAATTAAGTTGTTGCTTTTTTGCATCGGATGTTCTGGTCTCAGTTCCTCAAAGGTGGAGTACAGTGGAGCAGCTCCTCCAGGTGGTCACGCAGAGGAGAAGATCTGCTAATTTTCTCTTTCTCACCTATCCCAAATATGCTTTTTCCAAAAGGCCACTGGACTTTCTTGGGGGATTTTATTTTGGAAAACTTTTCGCTTCTTATCCAAGAAGGGACCTCCAAAGTCCCTTCCAACTCTGTTGTTCTGTTATTAAAAAAACAGAATTTTGGGTTCACCAAGGCTGAGATGATAACACCGCCCCCTCTCAAACCGTCAGTGCATTAAAGTTTACAAGGCCAGGTGGGTGATGAGTTCAGAGCAGAAATAAACATTTCTGGGTTGTTGGTTTGATCTCCGAGCTTGGCGATTTGGCTGCAAACATTTTGTTTCCATTCGGGGGGGGGGCATCTTCAGTGCGCTTGGATTTGTGCTTGTCTGTCGGGGCACTGACCTTTAAATACCTGTTTGTGTGATGTCAATTGTTTGTCCGGATGTTGCTGAGTCATGGTCAGGTTTGGGGCTGTTTGATTGGCTGGTTGTGGTTTCTGGGCCATACATAGTCTTTGGTGTTTAAGTATCGTCTGTGTGATGCAAATGGTGTTTGTTCGTTTGGTTGCCTTTGTTTACATCACACCAAAAGGTATTTAAAGGCCAGCGCCCTGACAGACGAGCACAATTCAAGGCCCCCCCCTCCCGAATGGAGACGAAATGTTTGTAGCCAAATTGCCGAGCTCAGAGATCAAATGAACAGCCCAACTACCAGCCCGAGCTACTAATATTCAAACACATCTCATAAATATTTCTCATGCCACCTAAGGGCAAAGATTTTGCCTCACTTCTGCAAAAGGCTGTATCGCTGTGGAGACATCCAGCTGCTCGCAGTGCTGTAACCAAAACCACAAGTATAATCAGCTTCATCCTCAGCCTGGAGGTTGGTAATGGTTAAATAGGCTGCATTGGCAGAGGCGTCCTTGGATCCCGTGAACCGGCCACTGCTGCCGGTATCATAGAGCAGGTGTTTGGGGCTCTCTCCAGCCTTCTGTTGATACCAACGTACGCTGCGACTGCCCACCTGGATGTCTGGGCTCATGGTGCATGAGATCTTTGCTGATTGTCCCAAGGAGAAAGTTTGTGCGGCAGGTTGAGTCAAGGTATACTGTGAATTGGCTCCTGAAAGGAGAAACGGAAGATTCTGAAATACAAATAGCAGATACCATCTACGGGACTATCTTTTGAAGACCTGCCCTGATTCTAATGGAGACGAGTAGCATTAGAAACTCATCCATGCGTCAATATCTCTGTGGATATTGATCAGCCTGAAGCAAACATGGGTCTCTGATCAGCATTAAACCCTCTTTGCAGGTTGGCTTGAGACTTGACTGTTAGAAGAGATAAATTTAGAGGTGAGGATTCTTCCTAAATTACCTGTAAACCATGGCAAGGAGAAGGCCAAGAGCATAGACCAGGCCATGATGAAGAGCTGAGCTTTCTGGGAAACTCAGATTGGGAGACTGCCATGTTCCCTTTAACACTCCAGGAATCTGGCTCCACCCCTTATGCAAATTCAGCTTGCATCTCATTAGCTGCATTAGGATAAGAATTGCACTTGCAGGAATGACACGGTCTCCTGTTTCTCTTTTTAATCTCTTCTTTCATTCATCTCTCTTTCCCCTCCAAGACCTTCAACTTGTCTTTTCCACAATCCTCAGCTTATCAGGTCCGGTGGCAGACCTTGTTCAGATAAAAAAAAGTCGATACCAGACTTTGACTTTTTATTTTCCTTCTTAGGAGAAAGATGTCTTATATTTTGAAAATTTAATCAAAAGGGAAACCACGGGAAAAAAAATCACGTAATGTTTCTTTTATGGCAACCATGATGAAGATTGTGAATTGATTCCTGTCCTTTCTCGTTTTGCTAAAAAAAAAAGTGAAGTAGGACAAGGTCTTTATTTTTAGCAAGGCTGGCAGAAGAACTGAGTCTGTTCTTAAGTACTAATGGTGTAAGCATTTCCCAGGCCGGGCTGATGGTTCGTTCAGGGGAAGAAGGATGTGTTCTCAAGTAAGCGCAACGGGAGGTTTTTGTCTCACTTCTGCAAGTGACTGTATCACTGTGGATACCTAAAGTTGCTGCCACTGCTATAATAACTACCACAGTAGTAATCAGCCTCATCTTCAGCCCGAAGGTTTATAATGGTTAAATAGGCTGCATTGGCAGAGGTGTCCTTGGACCCCGTGAACCGGCCATTGCTGTTGGCATCGTAGAGAAGATATTTGGGTCTCTCTCCAGCCTTCTGTTGGTACCAAGCTATGTTATAGCTGCCCACTTGGCTGTCTCGGCTCATGACACATGAGATCTTTGTCAGTTGTCCCAGGGGAAAGGATTGTGCCGCAGGCTGAGTCAAGGTATACTGTGAGTTGGCTCCTGAAAATAAATAATAAATAAAAAAGGAAGAGAATGAAGGTGGACATCCTATTCATCCGGTATTGGAGTATCTGCTCTAATTAAAATCCAGACGTCACTGAATTTCGATGGGTTGGAAGGCATGGAAGAGGGGTGGCTTTCATATCCGGTTCAAACCACAGTCCGAGCTTGAAGCGGATTCTTTCCGAACCAAGAATCTTGGAAGTCAGAATTCCTCCTAAATTACCTGTGCAGCACAAGAAGAAGAAGAAGGCCCAGAGCAGAAACCACGCCATGATGGAGGACTGAGCTTTCTGGGAAACTGAGATTGGGAGAATGCCGTGTTCCTCTTATACCCCAAGCAATCTGGGCCCACCCCTTTATGCAAATTCAGCTTGCATATTCTTAGCAGTTTTTGGATAAAAAGAATTGCACTTAAAGAAAGACACGGTTTTCTGTTTCTTTTTAACTTCTTGTGTGGTATGTCTCTCTTTGCCCCTAGAGATAGCTAGCAACTTAAGGTGGTGGTTTATGGTTCTGCTCCAGCATCCAAAACATGTTACAGACATCTAGAACCTCCCGAGAAATCAGATGGACCCAAAAGAGAAGCAGGATGCATGGAAAGGAATATTTTCCTGCAAAAGGTGCCATTAAGCCACCACTCAAAAGTGGGAAAGTTCTCCTGCATTCTTCCAGATGATGTACATGTCAAGAAAGAGGGAAGGGAGGGAAGAATCACAGGAAGATTAAAGATGTTGGAAGTCATGATGCATAATTTAGACCTCACCCCAGAGGCCCTCCTGGGTTTGGCCTGTCTCTCTTGGAAGAAAAGGGATCCCAGAGACGCCTCCTTTTATTTTCCTTCCCACGAGAAATATCCATTTCCAAACTTTAATCAAAAGGGAAAAACCTCAGTCAAAAAAGTTACGGAAGGCCATATTTTTATTGTAACCGTTGAAGATTGCCAATTGATTCTTGTCCTTTCTCGTTTCATTCAAAACGTGAAGCAGGATCAGGTCTTTAGGCTCGTTGAGAAAGGATTCAGTCTGTTCTTAAGCATTAATTGTGAAAGCGTTTCCCAGGCCGGGCTGATGGTTCATTCAGGGGAAGAAGGAAGTGTTCTCAAGTAAGCGCAACGGGAGGTTTTTGTCTCACTTCTCCAAGTAAGTGTATCACTGTAGATACCTCCAGTTGCCGCCACTGCTATAATAACTACCACAGTAGTAAATAGCCTCATCTTCAGGCTGGATGTTTGTAATGGTTAAATAGGCTGCATTGGCAGAGGTGTCCTTGGACCCCGTGAACCGGCCATTGCTGTTGGCCTCATAGAGAAGGTATTTGGGTCCCTCTCCAGCCTTCTGTTGGTACCAACCTATGCCATAGCTGCCCACTTGGCTGTCTCGGCTCATGACACATGAGATCTTTGTCAGTTGTCCCAGGGGAAAGGATTGTGCCGCAGGCTGAGTCAAGGTATACTGTGAGTTGGCTCCTGAAAATGAAAAAAGGGAAGAGAATGAAGGTGGGCATCCTATAGATCCTCTACTGGAGTTTCTTTTGAAAAGCGGCTCTGATTGACATCCAGACATCACTGAATTTCGATGGGTTGGTAGACATGGAAGGTGTGGTGGCTTTGATATCAGGATCCAAACACAGTTCCAGCATGAAGCAGATACTTTCCGAGCCTTGAATGCTGGCAGAGATAAATTCAGAGGTGAGGATTCTTCCTAAATTACCTGTACACCATAGGAAGAAGAAGGTCAAGAGCAGAGACCGAGCCATGGTGGAGAACTGAGCTTTTTTGGAATTTTTCAAATTGGGAGACAGCTATAATATCTTTAAAGCCTCAAGAATCTGGCTCCACCCCTTTATGGAAATTCAGCTTGCATCTCATTAGCTGGGCTTGGATAAGATGAAGTGCACTTAAAGGAAAGAGATGGTTTATCTCTTGCTTCGGTTATCTCTCTTAGAAATACTTAGGGCGTCCACGTTATAGTAGCTGCTTCAGTCTAAGATCCCAATGGAGCTCTTTCCATCCTTGCATAGGGTGGATAGGAGAGGATCTTTCTCAAGATCTGTTGAGATCTACAGACAGCCTTTCACCCAATCTGGTTTCTTGAACAACAGATTTGCAAAATCCGGGCAAAAAAATTATTAAAGCTGTGCTAAAGTTTTTCTAAGTTCTTATCCCACCAAGAATAAATCCCCAGTAATTTGGAGTGTGTGTGTGTGTGTGGGGGGGTGTGTTTGTCACCATTTATGCAAATTAAATTGTTGCCATCCCTGAGTCAAACAAAAAATCCTGCAGGGTTTTGAAATACGGCCCTGTCAAATGTGTATATCAGCAACTGCATTCACACAGCTCGTTTAAACTTGAGCATGTTTCACCACCTGTTGTCTGAATGCCATCGTTCGTTTTCTAACACTGCCTAGCAAAATGTTTTCTGTTAAAACACCCAATGAATTCTGTTGAACGAAATAACATATACAAAAGGGTCTTTCCGGGTATCTCTATATTGTGGTCTTTCCCAATGGGAAACTGGATTCTCCCTCCCCCCCACCATTAATCTATTGGCAACATGGTGTGCTTGCAGGCGTGTAGAGATGCAATCACAAAAACAATTTCAAGTGTTCTCTTCAGTTGCAACAGGTGGGAGGCCAAGCAGAGCAAGAAGAGGCAAAACTGGGCAGGAGGAAGTGAGGGTGGTGCCCTGCCTGATGGTTCTGCTCCAGCATCCAAAACATGTTACAGACATCTAGAACTTCTAGAGCAATCAGATGGATCCAAAGTGGAAGCAGGATGCATGGAAAGGAATATTTTTCCACATAAGGTGCTTAGTTGTTATTAGGCCACCACTCAAAAGTGGGAAAGTTCTCCTGCATTCTTCCAGATGATTTACATGTCAAGAAAGAGTGAAGGAAGGGGAGAATCACAGGAAGATGAAAGATGTTGGAAGTCAGGATTTATAATTTAATCCTCATCTCAGAGAGACTCGTGGCCAGGCATTCTGTCTCTCTTGAAGCCCTTGGAACAAAAGGGATCCCAAACCAGCCCCCTTTTATTTTCCTTCCCGTGAGAAATACCTATTTGCCAATTTTGATCGAGAGGAAAAAAAAACACAGCAAAAAGTTGAAAGAGTACAGAGAAGAGCAACAAAGATGATCAGGGGACTGGAGGCTAAAGCATATAAGGAAAGGCTGCTGGAATTGGGTATGTCTAGTTTAACGAAGAGAAGGACGAGGGGGGACATGATAGCCGTCTTCCAATATCTCAGGGGCTGCCCCAAAGAAGAGGGAGTCAAGCTATTTTCCAAGGCGCCTGAAGGCAGGACAAGAAGCAACGGATGGAAACTAATCAAGGAGAGAAGCAACCTAGAACTAAGGAGAAACTTCCTGACAGTGAGAACAATGAACCAGTGGAACTACCTGCCTCCAGAAGCGGTGAATGCTCCAACACTGGAAGTTTTTAAGAAGAGACTGGACAGCCATTTGTCTGAAATGGTATAGGGTTTCCTGCCTGAGCAGGGGGTTGGACTAGATGACCTCCAAGGTCCCTTCCAACTTTATTATTATTATTATTATTATTATTATTATTATTATTATTATTATT